GGATTGGGGGCTGGCACAGGGCAGGCTCTGGGGGGGGCTGGTGCAATGGGACTCTGGAAACAGAAAGCTAACTCTGGGGGGTCTGGGGTGGTGGGGGCTGTAAGGGACAGGGTCCTGGCACTTGGGGGCTCTGAATGCAGGAGGCTGACACTGGGGTGGTTGAGTGCAGGGGACTCTAGGATCAGTGGCTGGCGTTGAGGGGTAGAGAAGGGATGGGGGCTCTAGGAGTTAGAGCTGGCACTGTGGACTCTGGAAGCCAGGGCTTTTGGCAGACTGGTAACATTTTATTTCAGTATTTGCATATTTATTATACAAATAATGATATGCAAATGTTTCGGTTCTGCCAAAAGTTTGTGGATGGGTTGCCGGTCTCTGGTATCAAAAAGGTTGGGAACCACTCAGTTACTGCATCTGAGGACCTTTGTTTTAGGTTCCTAGTTCACCCTGCTACTTTTGGAAATTTTAACCCTTGCCTAAGACAAGTTAAATGAGTCTTGACAGTTCACCAACCTCTGTCATCTTTTGTGCTTTCTTAAATTCTAACGAAAACGTGGAGATGAATGGGAATGAAATGGCTGGGAATGTCCCTGACTATGATGGAAGTGCTGCTGCTGGTTTTAGGAATTCACTTAGGAGTGAAGGATTGTATCTGCATCATTATCAGTGTAGTTCTTAACCTTAAAGTTTTGTTAAATTCTTCATGGCTTCTCACTATTGTAGATAATGATGGTCCTGTATAGTGTCTTCTTCTATTACCAGGTGGTGAAGGGTGCAGACCTTGCCACAGTGACCCAGGTCTGTTCCATTTCCAGACTGAATTTCAATAATGCAATGTTTTCAGTTTTATGTGTTTTCTGTATTATATGGCCCTGTCTTCCAGTTGAGGAAAGGCAGTGTGCTAATCTCCATTGCCTGAACTGTCTACCTGTTCATTTCAGTCTACAGAGTACAGTTTTAGGCTTTGCTGACAATACTGTAAGTCTTGTATTTTCAAATGAATTTTTCATTGGAACCCAAATTTACCAAGCTTCATATCATATCATTGTTCAGTCATGATTTTGAGTTAGCATTATTTTGGTTTTGTTATCTACCTTTTTTGGTGGTTGTTCCTCTCTTGGATTGGATGTCTTTTGCTAGGCTGGTTTTATGAATGGTAGGACTGTTATATTTAGTTGAGCTCGGTATTTTTGTAATAATTGAGCAGCCTTTTCTTACCTTTGCCATGGACACTTTATCAGATCATAACTAAATCTAGAATAGTATGCAGATCCACCGTCCTCCAATTTCATTGCCAAAGTCTGCCAGTTTCAAACTGATAGAAGTTATTCTTTAAATGCACTAGCCTTGGCAGAAATATGGTTTATACTTAGTTACTATCAGTTATAAGTGATTGTCATTTATGATGAGTGAAGCAGTGGTTGACCCTAATCCTGTTAGTACAGAAAAATCTTTTATTTATACATACACTAAAAAAATGTAGCCTTGGGCAGTGTTCCCTGTAAACTGAGCACATGGGTGGCCACCCAAGAGAGACTCAAACTCCACTTAGCTGATTAGCAGAGTGCCCTCCAGGACCCCAGCCAGCAGCGTGTGTTTCTACTGGTGGTGCGCATTCACACATGCCTTGGTGCACATAACAAAATGTAAACCGTACAGGGATGAAAACAATTAGAGGGAACATTGGCCTTGTGCATCACACATTTATGTCCTCTAGTTGCCTGACAACTTCACAAACAGTGTTAGCTAGTTCTGGAGCTGCATCCTGTGTTAGTGTGAGCAGACATTACAGGTGTATTTTATGGAGAGATTTTAATGAAGAGAGAGTGGAGGCTTAGCACACTGAGATTGAGAGGAAACAGTATAGGAAAAGATACCAAATTGAGAACGGAAGACTGAACAAAATGAAAGGTATAGCTGGAGTGAAAAGGAGGGTGAGTGAGTACTACGTTTGGAACTCTACCTTGGCCCTAAAGCAGGCTTTCCTTGCTTGCTGCTGTGGCTTTAATAGGCTCCATCCAAATGCTGGCCAGAAGGAATCTTTTCCCATTTGTGTGTGAAGGCAAAACAGGGTAAAATAGAGAGGGAGACTCCTAAAGGTAAAGTGCAAAAGAATTCTGGTGGGAGGGGAGGAAGGGAATTCTTCTCGCTTGTTCCCTATCCTAGCTGAAAGCCTGATCAAAGTCATACAAGAAGTGTTTTTCCACTTTTTTTTAAAGATTATCCATGATATGGAGGCCCAAATCCACAAGCTGAGAGAAGAACTTATTCAGGTAAATGCTCAGCGGAAGCAACAGTTGGTAGAGCTTAGTCTTCTACGGGAGGAAGAAAAGCAGAGGGCGGCTCGGGATCATGAGACTGCAGTGAATAAGCTGAAAGCGGAGTCAGAAAAGATGGCATTAGACCTGAAAAGGACACATGCAGCAGAGACAGAGATGACACTGGAAAAGGTAAGAGACTCGTATGATGTTACTATACAAACCTGATTAGGTCACAGCAGAGGATGGACAATGTATTCAAAGTGACATAGTCTATAACAAATTATACAATTCAATAACAGTTGTAACATTTACTTAAATAAAGGAAACTGCTACAGATCTGTTTGTCAAATCCTAAGACATTGAGGGCTGGAGGAGCTCAGAGTTTTGGGGTACTTGACTGAAAGGCTTCTACAAGAACAAAATGCTGATTTCATGATGATAATTACTATGATTTTGATTAGTCTTCTTCCCCAATCAGTGCCACAATCAGAGTGCTCACTAACAGCAGTATCAGTAGGATTGGAACACCAATCTAGTATACAGTAGTTTAAAGAGGGGGACATGATAGACCAGAATAACAGCATGATTTGAAATGCAATTTCAATCCAACATTGGGCTTATCACTTTTATTTGATTACAGTGGGGTTTGCAAGGGAGAGCCTACTTGATTGATCCATGTACTTTGCTATATCAAAAAACAGTTGAAAGGGGAAAGTTCAGGATACATCTTTTCTGGATATAAATTATCTTCAGTATAGAAGGGAAGGTTTTTGTGTGCTTGTTTTTGTTTTTTTGGTTTTAGGACTTAGAAATCAATTTTGTGAGGTGGGGAGGGAGGAAGGTTGGGAAGATAGGCATGAAATGTGTAAGTATGGGAATTAATGTTTTAAAACACATGGAAGCTTTCTTCCATGTTATGCTCAACCAGTTCATTCAAAGTGTGATTCAGTGTGTTGATGTTTTTAGCGGAATGTTGATTCCTTTTTATGGGTTTCGCTTACGTTCAGCATTAAGTTAAGGTGTTTTTGATACATATCTGCAAGGTTTAGAATACTTGTAGAAAGGAACTCAGAGAAATGGAATTTGATTAGAAGTGTGAAAAACCTCACTGCTATGTGATCCAGAAATAAAAATTGTTAATTATATGATACTAATATATCAGAAAACTCTGTGTTCAACAATTTCCAGACATGTTAAATAATGCAATGTGCCGAAAATGTCCGTCTGCTGTGTACATTGGACAAACGTCTCAGACACTTCTCCAAAGAATCAATGCCCACAAAACAGATATTAGACAGGATCACAAAGAAAAAACAGTTTCTTGCCATTTCAACCAAAAAGGACATTGTCTCAACGACTTGATTACCTGCATCCTGCTTCAAAGACCTTTTAAGACCACACTTGAAAGAGAATCCTCTGAACGGTCATTCATGCTTGAATTTGACACTTTATGCTTAAGTTTAAACAAAGACATTAATTATCTTACCCATTATAAAGATAGCTTCCCCAATTATCACCTCTAATATCATTAGTTCACAGACATTTTCCTTCCCCTCCCCATTCCCCCTTCTGTTCTGAAATTTGATGTGTCCTTTTCATATGTGTTCGTTTTTTAAATTGTATCCTTTGGAATATATGGTTGTGACAATTTTCTTCCACTATTTGATCTGAGGAAGTGGGTCTGGCCCATGAAAGCTCATCACCTAATAAACCATCGTGTTAGTCTTTAAAGTGCTACATAGTCCTGTTTTTTGTATAGAAGATGGTATTTTGAATTCCCTCAGTAACACTTTACAAATTCTTTTTAAAATGTTATATTGTTCTACACTTCTTGTCTTTTAGATGAACAGGTTGAACCTCTCTAGTCTGGCACCCTCGGGACCTGACCGGTGCCGAACCAGAGAATTTGCCAAACAATGTCAGGTCAATATTGTCTAGCAGCATTACCAACACTTCCACTGTTTACTGGCTTCTTAGAAGACATTTAGAAGTAAATTAGAGCTAAAGAGCAGCACAGAACACTGAGAGCCAGGACTAGTGGCTATAAACAAATTTTATGAGACTGTGGGAAACTTGGCTACACCGATGATAAGTAGACGTCCGCTAACTAATATCATGCCAGACCACGGATGTTGCTGGACCAGAGAGTTCCGGGCGAAGGAGGTTCAATCTGTATTTATATGATCACTTGCCAGTGTTGTCAGCTAACATCAACGCCCTGGGAGGTTGACTCATTAACCTAAGGAACTTGCATATACATATTTCAGTTTTCCTTGTATCCATATTCTCATCTCTACCTCTATGTCCTGGATGAAATCTAGACTATTAATGGGATAGTTCCCTGTGTTTGGTGCTGCACAAACTAAATCACTAAATCTTGTATGTGTTCAGTTCTCAAAACTGGTGACTGTACTGACAAATTAAAGCAAAATCTATATCTTTTGCCAATATATAGTCATAAGAACCAAGTCAGGATATATATATTGCTAGATATTTAAGTATAAATAGCAGTAACATTGAAGGTTGAGATTTTCAAAAAAAGAGAGGATTGATGACCAACTATCAATGGGCTATGGGTGACTAACTTCCTTATTTTCCTTTTCAAATCCCAGCCTAAATATAGAGTCTTGATCCTGCAAACACTTATACATGCAAGTAAGTTCATTCAGATATGTAGGCCCATGGTAATCAGTCTGATTATTTATATGATTAAAGTCATTCATGTGCATATTTTTAGGATTAGGTGTTTAATGCAGATGGGATAGTAACTAATGAGCCTGGCCTTTAAATAACTATGGCTCTGTTCCTTCAAACACTTATTTAACTTTACTACTGTGAGTAATCTTACTAAAATGTCAACTTATTTGTGATGATAATGTTAAGGTTGTTTGTAAGGGTTTGCAATAACCAAGTCTTATTCTGTACTGAGGTTTGTTTTTTCTTATTTTAAAAATATTGCCGTTATTGGATTCTTTCTTAGTATGAATAAATTAATACCTAGGTTGCTAATGCTTTTAATGGTGTAATCAACATGTAGTTATCCAGAAAAACTCACCAAGACTCTAAAATCTATTTTATAATATTTTCAGTTCCTTAGAAAAGAAAAAAAATCAACAAAGTACATATTTAAACACTGTGCTAAACGAAAATGAAACTACTTGATGTTGAAAATAGGCCATCTTTATGCATACAGTTCTTTTAAATGTTTTAATATGTATTAGTGTGGTAAATTTCACATTTTATTATAAAATAATATACAGCAACAAAAAGTAAGAACTATGGATATAGTGTTTGAACAATCTTTGTGAAAACGATGTTTCATTTACCTGCATCAAGTTCTCGATCTATAATTTTAAACAGCATTCTGAGGATTATGTTGGAAATCTGCCAGCCTGAAGCCGTTAAATGGCTATGATCAACAATTCAGAATCTTTTTTGAATTTAAGGAAAGCTCCACTTGGCATAATTATTTAAAGCCAAGGTCACAGAAAGTATTTAAACCTTTGAAATTCATAATTAAAGGATTAATATTAACTCATGAAGACATTGTCATTTTTGCTTAAAAATGGAATTTGAATCTCAATTATTTTCTTTCTTTGATCTTTTTTTTTTTTACATTAATAGTATAGCAAAAGAAAAAAGTTAACTTCTTTACATGCCCAAATTAAAGTTACAAATAATCCTTAAACACTTCAGAGGAAAATATTCTTAATAGTCTTGAATCACCGTTACTGTCAAGAATATTCTTTTTAAACTTTCAGGAGGTTTTTTTCTTATTTTCCAAATAAAATTACATGACGACTTTTCTAGTTTTAATTTACATTAGGTGGCATTACATTTCTAAAGGAATATGTTTGTCATAGCCTATTTCTTCATTTCTAATTTCTAATCGGGATAATATGCAGAGGGAAAACTCAAAATTATTGTGTGAAGAAAAGGAGTTTTACATATTCCTGTGCAAGCAGCATAAACTGCCTTTACCCATTCCTACTCTTTTTCACCTATTTCTAGATCTCCCATATTCAGAGCTCTGCAAACGGGCCACCAAGTCCCAAAGGAATTTGGACAAAGATCTCTATTTTTATCTGAAAATGATAGCGTTTACTGAATTGAAGTGAAATCCTGACACAATTGAAGTCAGTGGGGGGTTATGGATTGAAGAGTTTTTATAAAAGAAAAACAACTTTAATAACAGCCCACATGCTGCAGCTTTGAAAAAATAACTTTCCTTCCAATGTTCTGAATTTTTCAGCAAATCTTATTACCTGTAAGTTGCTATGGAAGAAAATGAGAAGAAAGTTTTGATTGTTTTTTGTCCATATTTGGTCTTGTAACATTTATGTTCTCTCATTTATTTGGCCATATCTGGTGCCTGAAACTGTTAAGTGAACCGCAGAAGGTTTTGTGGTTTGGTTTGGTTTGGTTTTGGAAAAGGTCATATGAATATCTAAATTTTCAGAGGCTCATTCCTTTCACAGGTGAAGGGATTCATTCCCATGTAGCCTAATCTTCTGTGCAATGTTGATTTCTGTGCATGTTGGTTTGAGGGAGTTATGGATTGATGCTCGTGTGATCAGGATCACAATGGGAAAAGTTTGCTAAAATTTTCAGTGAAGAAAACTTAAAGAAGAAATGCATTTATAGAAGTCTGTCATAAAAACATGAGAACGGCTATACTGGGTCAGACCAAGGGTCCATCTAACCTAGTATCGCTGTCTGCTCCCACATGCCCCAGAGGGAGTAAACACAACAGGTGATCATCACATGATCCCTCTCCTGTCATCCATTTCCAGACAAACAGAGGCTAGGGATACCATTCCTACCCATACTTGCTAATAGTCATTGGTGGACTCAACCTCCATGAATGTATCTAGCTCTTTTTTGAACCCTGTTAAAGTCCTAGTCTTCACCACATTGTCTGGCAAGAAGTTCCAGAGGCTGACTGTGCGCTGAGTGACGAAAAACTTCCTTTTGTTTGTTTTAAACCTGCTGTCTATTAATTTCTTTTGGTGACCCCTAGTTCTTATATTGTGGGAATAAGTATATAACTTTTCCTTATTCACTTTTTCCGCAACAGTCATGATTTTATAGACCTCTATCATATCCCCCCTTAGTCTCCTCTTTTCTAAGCTGAAAAGTCAAAATCTTTTTAATCTCTCTTCATATAGGACCTGTTCCAAACCCTTAAT